TTGCTCCACCACCAGGTCTCCTTCCACTGCCCTCAGGGATGTTGTAGCTGTCAGTACTAATTGCCTCAGAGTTAATTTGGCTTCATCATGACGCTGTGTGATTTGAAGCAGAACTGTGCTCTGTAGGATTTCATGTCAAGATTAAACCCTTTGGGAGGCAGATTCCAGGCTTTTCTGAGGGTACCTCTTAGGTACCCCTGGGAAGGTTTGAAGCACGGTTCTGCTAGTGGTCCCGCCCTTAGTTGTCCACGCCACCCAGGGAGACTGTAATTACAGGACAGATGCATGTGCGAGTACAGCAATTGGGAGCTTGCACTTCCTTTTACTCTTTCCTCATTTTTCAGTTTTTCAACAAAATGTCAAGTAGGACTTAGGGTGTCATTTTAAGTCCCCGCACAGGTCCACATGAGCTGTCTGTTGAAGGGTGGTTTCGGTGTTGATGTGTAATGCATGAGGTGTGAGTGCTACAAACATCAGTGTTAAACAGGGAGATGATCTAGAATCTAACATCTTTCCTCCTTCACCCCGTATTCTAAGGAGGGGCTCCCAAGTTTATATACACCATCAGGGGTTCAGGCCGATCTGCAGAGTCTGGGCCACAACCAAGAACAACTTGAAGTCAAGTGCACAGTGGGGCTCAGGCACCTGCCTGTGACCAGCTTACTAGAGCAGTGACTTTGAGAATGAGGGTGGGCTGGATGCAGCCACCTCAAACGCACGTGAAAGCTGGACAATGAGTAGAAAGACCTAGTAAGGAGAGTTGATGCCTCTGAGTTTTGGACTATATCATGGACTGCCAGTAGAATGAACTAATCTGTCTTGGAAGCACAGCCAGAAGTCTCCTTAGGAATGCGCGTAGTGAGACTTTGCACTACCTTGGACCCACTATGAGACTGGGCCAGTCCTTGCAGAAAGGGGACCCACGGTCGTCCACACCGCCAGCTCCTCCTGGACGTGTGCTGGAGGCTCCCACCACTAGGTGGTGCTCACAGCAAGCATTCGGCTCCCTGAGCCCATGTGCCCACCCCACTCCTGATGGCCTAGCCTGATAACCAGCATTCTCCTCCCTTGATGTCTCTTCTGTGGCCCCTGAGGACTTTATACTGCGAGGTCACCAGCAGGTACACGGGATGGAGAGCCCTCCCTCAGCATTTTAATTTTGTTTAGAAACACACGTGAGGTGTACCCACCAGCTTAAAGGCCCTCCCAGCCTGGCACCAAGCTTGCAGACAGTCCCCCGTCCAACCCAGGGCGAGATCTGTGGGTGAGGGGCAGAGGACAGTCCAGACAGATAGTCAAGCTTTGGGGAATCTTTCCTGTGCCCGACCCTCATCCAATTCTCTCGTATTGAATTCTCTCGTATTATGATGCTACTTCACCTTCCCATCAACTTCATGCTGAGCCCAAGTCATAGATAAAAAGCAAGGAAGCTCATCCAAGGTCACAAGGAGAGAATGCACCTGAGCTGTGATTGGAACCCAGGCCCCAGGTTCTTTTCCTGACATCTAGAATTGCCCTGTGCTGAGAGGAGAGAGTCCTACATGGACTCTCTGAATATCAACACAGCACCAACAACTGCATCCAGCCAACAACCCCCATCTTGTCCTTCAGCTGATGAACAGAAGCCATGCTGTGTGCTGTCCACTGGGGTTCATGCCTTCCACTGGGGTTCAGGCCTTCCCTTTACAAGCCCCATCCCACAGGAAGAGAGCAACTGAAAGAGGGCTGTGCAAGGCATAAGGAAAGCAAGGAAGTGGCCTGCCTAGCACCACCTGGGAAAAACAAGGAGAGCTTCCTGGAGGAGGTGACTGTTGTATTTGCTCTGCCAAGAGTGCATCCTGAGCACCAGGGAACAGGTCAGACTTGAGCTGCGAGTACGCACATTGCTGGAAGCCTCCCGTCACAACCTGATAAGAAGTCTCCCCATAGAGAGGAGAATGCGCCTGTGTGTGTGTGCATTTGGTTTTGTTTGCTGATCTGAGAAGATGGAGTTTTATTGCACTGGATTTTGAGGACTATCAAGCAAGGCTAAGCTAATGCCTCCCAGGTGAGCTTGAACCAGAGCTGTCAAACTCTGAAGGTCCTCTGTTCCCATCCAAGGAGGCATGCCAATGCCATGGTGCCCACGGTAACCTTGTACTTGGGAAGAGGCTGCAGGCACATGTCTCCTAGTGAACCTGGGTCTATCTCTGTCCCAGCAGTAAAGTGTATAGTGTGTGTCTAGGAGGACAGAATGGAGCAGGAAGGAGGGTTCTAATAGCAACAGAGATGTAGGGACCCACCCATCATTTCATACTGTGTGCTGAGGGAGCAGAGAGCTGGATGGCAGGCCTCACTGTGCCCTGTAGTTATGGAGCTTTCAGTACTGAAATATACACACACAAGCTGTGTTTATCCACTAATTGTGCTGGGTCTGAAGACAAAGCCAGGCTCAAGGTCATGATTTTTGGAGGATAAGAATAATTGTACAACTCGAATGTGATCAATGTCACTAAACTATACAAAAGGTAGAAATTTAACAGTTGTAGGAAGTGTTGAATTGCTATGTTCTGCTGTCTCTATTCTCAACAACAAAAAAACCAAAGATATTATTTTAGAAAAAGGGTTAGTATTGAGCAAAGGGATGTGGTCATTGTCTGAACCCTGATGGTGACTGGGCAGTCCTGACCAGGCCCCGCTCCCTCCTTAGCTCTCGGTTTCCTTCCCTGTACAAGAAGGGGTGGATCTGTCCAAATGCCTTTGTGCCAGAACCTGTAGACAGGGCTCAGGGCCTCGTGCTGCTCCTTTAACGGCTGCCCCTCTCTGCCAGTGCGAATCCATGCTCAGCTCTGAGGGAGAAGATGGGCAATCTCATCCTGTGTGATTTATAGTCTTGGAATCCTGCTGGAAGTCAGCTGTGAGCGAGTTGGCAGGTTTTGGGTTTTGAGGCAGCTCGGGAGGGCTCTAATCTCAGATCACAGAGATGAGGATGGTAACTAAAACTAAACCAGATCTACTACTGCCTCCAAGGAGTCTGAGACTGAGAAATTGCACCTGGGCCCCTCCACTTGCCGGAAATGGGGTTTGGGCAATTTTTGGACCATAAGATTGAAGTTTTCCAACATATATTCCCACCTGAGGTTTATTCTCTGCTTTTTAAAAAAAAAAAAATGTAATTTGAGTAAAATTTACAGAGCAAATTGGTTTTGCATTCGTACGTATTTTGTTTTGTAGCATTAGTTACAATACCCACAGTATAACTGCATCCTTCCTATTTCCTCCCTGTGATTCTCATTTTCATTACTCCATCTAGCCTATGCTTTCTTCCCTTCTGAGCTAATGCTGCCCTTGTGACCCTGTATCGTTGATTGTTCTGAGAGTGAGTGCCTCCCTGGTGTCGTTGGTCACCTTGCAGACCTGTCTATTGTTTGAGTAGCAGTTGGGCCACAGCAATGAGTTTTGTTCCAGGACAAAGGTTGTTTAAGGGCCATACTCGAAGGTTCCACCAGTCTCTGTTTTTGTACACTAGGTTCTTCCAGTTGAACTTAATGACCCCCACACTGTGGTCCTGAAATGTCAGGATCTCAATTCATTCCCTCAGGACATTTAGTCAGTCAGTTATGCTCAGTCAGTCAGGCTATCCTACTAACATGAATGCAGATGGTGTAGCCCCTTCCCCTGCCCACTTTGCTCCCTGTCTCAGCTTTCACATTGTGGATAAGTCTGTCTTTCCCCAGATGACTTAGTGATGCATGTTTTGCATTTATTGCTTTCTGGCGGTGATTCTGCTGTGATGGGTCCCAAGCGCAGGGCTGTACCATCTGGTACTGGTGTGTGTGGGGGGGGCAAACAAGGCTGCGTGGTGCTTTAAGGAGAAAGTATGTGTGCTAGGTCAGCTTTGCTCAGCCATTGTGCTGCACCCTCGAATTCAGTGCTAAGAATCCAACAATCTGCATTGAGTCGGTGCTTTTAAACAGAAACCCTTACTGTTAACAAAAATATTGTGACTTGTCAAAATCTAACCCTGTGTTTCTTCTCAGAGTGATGGTTCAGGATTTGCTAATTTGGTGTTTGTAATGACTTGTTTTGTTTTGGTTTGGTTTTTGGTTTTTTTGGTTTTGGTTTTTTTTTTCATTTCAGACAACTTTAATGCCACAAATTTCACAAATAGAGAGTTTTTGCTCTAAACCAAACAAAACTAAAACATCGGGAGACTACAATGCCATGGCTGTTGGTTAAGAAATATTTTAAGCCACCTAATGAGTTTCTTGGGTTCAAAAGAAATTACTTATTAATAAAATAGAATATAAAGGAGCTCTAGTGATGACGTTTTGGAAGCAGGAGTGGCATCTACTTCCTAAACAACATGCCTCTGGAAGCTCCATGCACTTTGAGAAATGAGGATAGTTATAGAAAGGCTTCAGGTCTTTTGTTCACAGGGTCATTATGAGTCGTGCTCGACTCTACGACAATCAACAACCACAACAATGATGCAGTGGTGATATGTGCTGGCGGTCCAAACTCACCAGCCACTCCTCGGAGACAGATGTTAGCAGTCCACCGTGCAAAGGTAGCCGCTGTTCCTTGTGGTCAAACCAGAACTGAATCACAGCTGACCCTCCAGTGGGTTTTAAGTCCAGGGGCTGTGAATCCCACAGGAGGAGATTGTCCATCTTTCTCCTGAGAAGCAGCTGGTGGATTCCAATCCCATGGTTTAGGCTTAGCAGTGCAACTCCCTACCCACCAGGCCACCTGAGCACCCCACCCAAGATTGCCTCCTGGGGAACCCTGTGGGGAAATGTACTCACTCCTGCATGGTCATTAGGAGTCAGACTTGACTTGATGGAAGTGTCCACTTGGGTTTGGTTTTCTAGAATATCACTACTGTATTAATGAGAATCAATATCACTGTTTCGTTAAAACATCTAGAACCCCAAGAAGCCTGGCTACTCGTTCGTGGTTCCCTGGGGCCTTGAATCTCAGCCAGCAGCTCCCCCTCACCACCTCCCTTCTCCCCACAGGCCCTCACTCCTGCCCCCACGGCCATGGCCTTCACCCCAGCACCGCTGGACGACACATTCGTGCGTCCCCAGTTCTGCAAATGGCCCTGTGAGTGCCCAGCGTCCCCGCCTCGCTGCCCTTTGGGGGTCAGCCTCGTCACGGACGGCTGTGAGTGCTGTAAGATGTGTGCCCAGCAGCTTGGGGACAATTGCACAGAGGCCGCCGTCTGTGACCCTCACCGGGGCCTCTACTGTGACTACAGCGGGGACCGCCCGAGGTACGCAATAGGACTGTGTGCACGTAAGTCAGACCTCCGGCCCTTCCACACAACCCCCCACACCCCGAGTGCTAGCCAGCCGCTCTCCCTGGGCCCCTCAGCCCTCCCCGGGGTGGCATCCCCACACGTCAGTCCAGTGAGAGGCAGAGGTGGGGTCCTTTCTAGAGGGGGGATGTCCACTCTTGGCCCCAGACATGGCTCGTCTCTCCACCCGGAAAGTTTCTCTGTACTGACCGTGGAGAGAGGGGACACCAGGCAGGGACCTCAGCCTGGCTCTGTCCTGTGAGTGGTGGCACCCGATGCCCGATGCCCAAGACCTCCCGGGGCACACGGGGCCCTGCAGAGCTCCAGACGGTCTCACAACATTATAAATGCAAATGAGGTGATTGAAGAAAAGGCAGTCTTGACAGAACAAAAGCCAGTTGTCTGCAACTGTCCGTCCCGCCTCCCGCCCACCTTCCAGTCGTCACAGTGCCTCAAAGCGCTTAGCATTTCTTCTGGAAGCTTCTACTATCTAGTATCTGTGTGCTGTGGTGTCCTTCCAGCTTGAGACATCAATTTTGGATAATCTATTCACATTCTTATATAATAACTGATAACTTAGCTCCTCTCAATACCATTCTCTTCTTCTCGCTTCCAAACACTATGGTCTTAATTTTTGTTATACAAGAATCCATGTTTATGATATTAGGATGCTGTAAATGTTTGAATTTCCTTTCTCATAAAGCTTTTTGTGTTTCCCAGAGTTCCTAGTTGCCTTTGTTTCATCTGGACTCTTAACTTATCATCTCGTGTCGTAGGGGCAGAGGAGCTGTGTTTTCTTGCATGTTTGCTTTTTTACGTGGCCTCTCCCCTCTTAGCTACCTCTGTCCTGACACTTCCTGGGCCCTTGCTTTTGTCTGGACTGATGTTCCCGTGGCTTGAGTCACCTGACACTGATCCCTCCAAGACACTCGGCCCAGAGTGATGAAGAGCCATGACTAGACACGTGACGCAGGTGTCAACTTCCGCCAAGGTGGACAGAGCCCCATCAACTCACAGGCTCACCAGGTCTAAGTCGGCTTTCCTGTAGCCAGGACTCTGTCTCCACCCCATTATACACTGACATGAGAGTATCGTCTCTCATCTTCATCAAACTCCTTGCATTTCCTGGGACCTGGTTGCCTATGAAGGTGAATGCATAATTTCCAAGTTAGGGAATCCCATTTGAGACTCATGGACAAGTTATAGACACTCAATGTTTAACACTGGATTGTGCTTCAACGTCACACCAAGTCATCTGCTTCTGTCTTTGCAAGAACCCACCTGGCCTCCTCGACCCCTCTACTTTTCCTTTTACTGAGCCCATTATTAGCCCATAAAACCTTGTGTTCAAAGCACAACCTGCCTGAAATTATGTGATGTGTGGGTTGAAGATGCTATTCCTGAGTCCCACCTAAGACTTGTAAGAGCAAATCCTCTGGTGCTGGAGCTGGGGAGTCCACACCTTCAACAAGACTCCTAGGTGGCTCTCATGCACCAGTCAAGTTTGAGAGCAATTGCTGGATTGGTGAAGCGTACTGAATGTCCCGTGGACTGCTGGAGGAACAAACAAATCTGTCTTGGAAGAGCCAGGCAGCTTATTCGAGGCAAGAATGTGGAGAGTTCACCTCACACACTTGTGACAAGCTGTCAGAAGGGGTCAGTCCTTCAGAAAAGGCATCACTGCTGAGAAAAGTAGACGACCAGCAATGCAGATGGCGCGTGTGAGAAGGATTGATACAGTGGGTGTGGCAGTGAGCGTAAACAGGAGACTATGAGGGTGGCCTGAGCCCAGACAGTGTCAGGCTGCTGTACTCGGGTCCTGATGAGGTCAGGTCCACATGGTCACGTCTAACAAGAAAGAGTAATGAGCTAATCTGTGCAGTCACACGCGTTCTCCTCATCCCACACGTAGAGAACGGCTCAGCCTTCAAGCAGTGCAACTACATTTCCAGTTACACGACTCTGGCTTACCATTTAAGTCCCCTCTACCACTGCTAGGTGCCTTGCTGTGCAGAGGTTAAAACATTCGGCTTCATGTTAGGAAGTTGGTGGTTTTAAACCCGCCAGTGAAAGCAGCATTCACACCTGTGAACACGGCAGCCTTGACTGTCCCACCTCACAGCATCGCTATGAGACAGAACCCACAGCATGGCAGCGCCTGGCATAGAGTGTGGGCTCTGCCTCTGCTCTCTGGGCTTGTTGCAATTCTACCAAGAACTGCCTGTGTGCCAGGCCCCACGTCCTCAGAGGCATTCTCTAAGGAATCTAGACTGAGTGTGCGGGTCAGGCCTCTCCCCACAAAGGCCCTAGACAGCCAGCTGCCCTGCTCGTCTGCACCCCTCCTACCCCTCACCTCTTAAAACTCCCACCTCACTCACTGCAGCCTCTCTCCTCCCCAGTCCCTCCCCATCGCTGGAGTCAGAACAGACCCAGAGCCAACCCTCCAGTGGGTTTTCAGAGGCAGTAAATTTCCCAGGAAGAGAGTGTTCATCTTTCTCCTGTGAAGCAGCTGACAGATTTGAACCGTGTATCTTTGGGTTGGCAGTGCAATTTCTTTTCTCTTCTTTTAAATTTTATTTTGTTATTTTACACTGATTTACTTAGAAAGTTCAAATACATTCTTTTTCACACCAGACCTTTGCCATTTCCTCCACCTCCACTCAGCCGCCTATCAAACTGTATGACCCTATGATTAATCCCTGCCTACCCTGCCCCCTTGGATCCTTATACTCGTTCTGCAATAATGGTTTTATACAGTATTTGTCCTTATGGGACTGAGTTAGTTCACCAGTCCATACGTCCTCTCTTTCATCGGAAAAACAAAACAAATCTGAGTTTGAGATACACCTGAAGAGGTACTACACTTACCAAAAGGTTCCCTGATCATAAGAGTTTAAAGATAACAGAATAAACAAATTTAAACAGGTTCTTCAAGTCTTCTCAGAGCCTTTACATGCTACAGCTTTCCTTGGGGATGGGGCAGCATTTTTTTATAACATCAATAAATTGTGTTATAAAAAATGACAACTAAAATCTGTCTCTCCCTTAAGCTATCAGATTCCCAAGTGCACGGGAATTTTAAATTCATCTTCAAATGCCTAAAATGCAAGAGAAATTATGAACTCAGCAAAAGCTTATTGAGCGATTGAACGAGCTCAGAGGAGGCAAAAAGCAAAAGCTATAGGAACAAAAGACAACTGAAGCACTTGTGGTCTTGAGAGAGATTTGAAGGGATGTTACACTTACCAGGAAACTTACTTATGATATAGGTTTGTACATATCGGCATAAATAAAGGCAAGAGAGTACTGCAGGACTTCTTAGAGCCTTTACATGTCTGTGCCCACCACCAATTTTAAAAGGATGCTTTCATAAGAAGCCTTTACTTTTCAAACTTTTTAAACACTAGGCCTGATTGTTTCCTCTCAGGTAAATTTTTTGCCAGGCACCTCACCACAGACATATACACACACATACGTATGAACACATCACACATGCAAACATCAGCTGCATGCATGTGGACACACACATTCCTCTGAAGATATTTGCTGCTGAGCATATTTTCAGAAATGCTTCTAGAGCGTCTGAATTCATGAGATGTTCCTCTGAGAAAAATAGAAGTCCCTAAGCTTGAAGGCAATGGAGAGGGAGCCCCCACTTGACCAGAGCAGGGGGAGAGAAATTCTGTTCATGGACAGCCTCTTAGATGGCCAGCTCAGCCAACCCACAGTCCCCAGCCGGCTCAAACCTGTCCTGTGTGTTTGGGAAATGGAAGGCGGGTGGAGACACATGGCCCTGTCACACAGGTTTCATAGAAAACATAGTGGGGAGTGTGGCTAAGAGATTCATGAAAAAGCTTTGGCTATTGGTGGTCAGCCCTTGCAGGGCCCAGCCCATCACTCCCAGGAGAAAGGTAACCTGGGCTTGTCCAGTCTGTTCGTCTTCCTCCAGAACCAGAGGGCTGGATCTGTAGAGATGATTTATAAATGTTGGCAGAGCAGCCAAAGAGTTCTTCTAAAACTGCTCCATGGGCCAAACTAAATATGATTACGGGCAGAGAGTGACCTCTGAATTCAACCGCTGGGCTATTTCAGCTGCACAAACACTGCCCGAAGCTAGTGCGGCTGGGTCAGACTCGGGGGGCAGTGCGGTTTGGAGGAAGGATGGAGAAATTTCCAGGCAGCCAGACTTGGCTCGAAATCCTGGCTCTGCCACTTTCTAGCTACGTGACCTTGGGCACACCACTTACAGAGCATGAGGAAACTGACTCCTCATGGCAGCCAGCAGCAGGGGCGCACAAAAGCCTAAAACGTCTCTGGATGCTTTTGTGGTTTGCAACGTTTTATTGTGATTTAGGTAAAAGTTTACAGAGCAAATGCAGTACATTTTGAGTCGTGATACCGACTGTAATCTCCACGATGTAACAGCTCCTTCGCACGTCTTCCCTTGCTCTTCCATCCATCTTTCCTTCTTGTCCCAAATCCTCACCCTGGGCCAATTAGCAACACCATGAGAGATGCAGAGAAGATTTAAATTGTCAACAATTTCATTTTACTTGGCTCCACACTCAATTCCCTTAGAACCAGCAATTAGGAGATCTGAAGACTTAGAGCACTGGAAAAGTCTGTTACCAGGGACTACTCTAAAGTCCTGAAGAGCAAGGATGCCAATTTAAAGACTAAGGTGTACCTGATTCAAGCCACTGGCTTTCCAATCACCTGCTATGAATCTGAGAGTTGGACAATGAATAAGGATAACGGGAGAAGAATCGATGTCCTTGAGTTGTGCTGTTGGAGAAGAGTACTGAATATCCTGTGAACTGCGAAAAGAATAAAAAAACATTGGAGGAAGTGCAACCAGAGTGCTGCTTGGAGTCAAGGATGGTGAAGCTTCATCTTACATACTTTGCACAAGCGCTATTCCTTGTAGAGAGACATCACGTTTGGAAAGGTGGAGGGTCAGAGAATGAAAGGTAGACCATCAGTGAGATGGGTTAAGACA